ATATATCTCTATGGTTATAAATGAACCATGTGGTTGAAAATCAATTTATGTTGAATTTTGAGAAGTTAACAAACCAATGCTCAGGCTCAACTTGCACACCTCATAACTCTCAGCTCACAAGGGCTATAAATGAGTTCTATAACTTTCTGGAAATCCCTCATGGAGCTCTAAAACTTTCACATTTTTGAGATTTTCAAATTCTGAGTGGAACTAGGTTGAAAAACCTCTCCAAGTTGGCTGAAAACATGACTTATAAGGCTAGAAAACTTAGAAAACTTCTAAGTGTTTTGCCCTCTTAAAATGATTTTGGCTATAACTCCAATTCTATACATTTTCTGCTCATGGACCACTTTGGTACTTTTGTAGGACTTGTCAAGAGTTTTCCAATGAGGTTTGAACCAACTCAATTGAATGTGTAGTTAGGGAGTTACGGTCTTGCCCTTTTCAAAACCCTAATTTCCGATTTTTGCGATTACTCCCTAAACCTTGATCCAATGGTCATGAAACTTCATGGGTAGGTGTAATATGTCATTAGGAACATTTTTTATTCCCACCTTGAGGTCAAATTCCTTATGGCTAAAGAGTTGACTTTTCGGTCAACCGAACGATCGATCGATGACGATCGGATCGACTGTTGTTGTTCTGGGTCCTATGAGGCTTTAAAACTTCTTGAGTAGACTTCCCTAATCCATATGAACCTTATGGACCAATATTTCATCATTAGAACACCTTTTAAATCAAATGTCAAACTAACAGTTGACTTTTCCTGATTAGAAACCCTAATCGGGGATTCTGAACTGCACTACTCCTGATCTTTGTGTGAAAACCATAAATTGGATTCATGATTGTCCCAATATAGTATTCTTGATTATTTAGAGACTTGTTTTCATGGAGAAACAATCCAATACATTGACTGATTAAATTGTCGAACCCTCGATTTCCAACTGTACAGAACCCTGATTCGCCTGTAACTTAACAAAGACAAACTTGAAACAGGTTATGGTTAGATAATCAAATGAATATGAGCCTAAAATGGTGATGAAGATATAAGGGGTCAAAATTTGGGGTGCAACAAGCATGTCAAGATTAGGGTTCACTAATCCTTCCTAAATGTATCCAACCAATCAAATATGTGAATATAATTTTAACCAACATAACCGCGTATCCTAGCAAAAACGTTCATCTCTAAAGCGATTTTATGAATGTTATTGTTTTGACCGTTAAATGATCTCTCTAAATAACAATCGAAACAATAATCATTAAGATCAATACAAAGCGAATATTGACTTTCAGACCTATGTCTAGAGTTTGTATAGTTGATAGATGAAGAAATTAGGTCAAGACTTGAAAAGTTCATGTCTAAAGCAATTCAAACCATAAATATAACAAAAGATAGCAAATAACTTCATCTATATTAATCGAAGCCTTATTCGCATACAAAAGATTAAGAAGAATACATAAAATTAGAACTAGTTACCTCTAACCTTGACAAAAGAGGGGTTTTAGCCACCCATTTCCATGATAGCTTGAGCAACAAGTTTCAGAAGAAGGTTGATCAACATCCGAGTCGAATAATCGAGATTGGATGGGAGTCCACCTTCTTTTTGTGAAAGATGGCTAAGAGATGATGAAAAATGGAGAATCTAGGGTTTTTTCTCTGAAAAATCTCTAAAAAGAAAAGTACAAGAAAAAAAAAAGATATTTTTACAAAAAGTACCACATGTTCGCTGTACGAAGAATCCTTCGCAGTGCGAAGGCTTCGCTTCAAATTTCGCACAGCGAATTCTTGTCCAAATACTAACTGCCTCAAGTTTGGGGGGTGTTCGCTAGGAATTCGCTTCTTCTTCGCTATCTCCTTCGCACAACGAACTTAGATTCCTTTTCTTTCTGGATAAACAGTACCATGCTTTTCTAGGCCTTCGCTGACAAGTTCGCTGTGCAAACTTTCTGATGTTTTTCTGGTAGGTTCACTGTGCGAACTTGTTGATGTTTTCATTCTGACTTGGTTTCTTTGTCACAATTTTTGTGTCTTACTCTTCAAATTTTCATGCCTAAATCCTACACAATAGCACACAAATCAAAACAACCAAGACATTTTCACACAATGAAGCATATCATCAAAAATAAGAGTGATTCTAATCACTTTTTCCTACAAAAAGAATGAAAGATGCCAACATTTGATAGATCAAATAAGCAAAGTTTAACATCTAACAACGAGATCATAAATGAGCTTAAAGAACCATCCATTGAAAGTTGAAAGTGAAGTTCGACAGGAACAAGTCAGAGATGAAGTTGGCCCGTGCAGACCTCGACGAATAAGACACATGCCTACAAGGTTGCAAGAATATATGATTACATCAGATGATATGGTCGATGAAGAAGGTGAGTTGTTACAATATGCTTTCTATGCAGATGTCGAACCAGTCAATGCAGCTGAGGCATTGAAAGATTTGAAGTGGGTGAAAACAATGAATGAGAAGTTAGACTCCATCGAAGTCAACAACATCTGGTCACTTGTCGACTTGCCTCAAGGCAAGAAGTAAATTGATGTGAAGTGGGTTTACAAGGTGAAGGTGAATCCTAAAGGAGAAGTAACTCAACACAAGGCGAGACTTGTGGCGAAAGGATTTCTTCAGAAGGAAGGAATCGACTTCGACGAATTTTTGCACCTATTGCTAGGATCGAAAAAATCAAATTGGTTGTTGGTCTAGCAAATATGAACGATTGGCACACATGTCAGATGGACGTGAAGTGTGCATTCCTTAATGGCCCCATAGGAAAATAAGTTTATGTTGAACAACCAACTGGGTTTGTGAGACGAGGCGAAGAAAGAAAGGTGTACAGGCTGCATAAAGCCCTGTATGGACTTAAGCAAGCTCCAAGAGCTTGGAAAAAGAAAATTGAGAGCTTCTTAAGGGATAAGGAATTTTGTGAAGTGTATGACTGATCATGGAGTCTACGTAAGAAGAAGAAGTAGTGAACTGTTTATACTATGCCTCTATCTCGGTCACCTGTTGATAACAGGAAGTTGCAAGAAGGAGATCGAAGACTTCAAACATAACTTGAGTCAGGAGTTTGAAATGTCATACTTGGTAAATCTCTCATATTTTGTTGGCATCAAATTCTACAAGAGTAGTATAGGTGTGATGATGCACCAAAGAAGATATGTAGGCGAAATACTCAAGAGATTTGAGATGTACGATTGCAACCTAACTTTGACTCCTACTGAGACCAGATTGCAACTCTTGAAGGATTCATATGAAGATGATGTCGACCCAACCCAATATAGAAGACTTATTGGGTTACTTGGATACCTTTGTCGCACAAGGCTTGACTTAGAATACAGTGTGGGTATGGTAAGTAGATTCATGCAGAAGTCAAAGGTATCACACCTAGCAACGGCGAAGAGGATACTGAGGTATCTAAAAGGGAATCTCGACTATGGAATTTTGTTTCCTGCAACTGATGAAGGAAAAGAATGCAAGTTAGTGGGATACGCCGACTCTAGTTGGTGTAGTAATGCTGAGGATAGAAAATCCACAGCTGGCTATGTGTTTATGCTAGGTGGTGCACCAGTTGCTTGGAGTTCGAGAAAGGAGTCAGTAGTGGCATTGCCATCATGCGAAGCAGAACATATAGCTGCTTATCATTATGCATGTCAAGCAACATGGATGGTGAATCTGGTCGAAGAGATCATAGCAACGAGTCATTAATCAATTACCATGAAGATCGACAACATGTCAGCTATCAACTTGGCAAAGAATCCAATAACACACGATCAAAGCAAGCACATCAAAATGAGGTTTCATTTTCTAAGATTAGTTAAATTATCCTAATGTATTAGTGTCGAAGTAGTGTAGCTCGACAGAAACTAAGATTAGTTAAATTATCCTAATGTATTAGTGTGTCAAGTTTCTTAGTGTGTCGAAGTGTCAAAGCAGATTGTTTCACACAGGATTTCGACTTAGACCTAATTTAGTAATGTTTTCTATTTTGGCCTTTTATAGTTTTGGGCTTTGACTTGGGGTGCATGCAAACCTAAATCGATAAATAGGGAGAAAACCTTATTTTTTAAACATATCTCATCATATTTTGTACTTCATAGTTTGCAGTTACAAGTGAAATAACAAAATTTTCACAGTTTGTGGGCAGAGAGTTCTCTGCAGAAAATTGTTCATCTTCTTCTCCAACGTTTACTTTCTTTCTTTCTTTCTTTCTTTCTAAAATTTTCTTTCATTGTCATTGCGTGGGTTGAAACAATCTTAAGATCAAGATTGATTGAGTGAAATTCTCCATAGGTTGTTGTTGAATTTCCAACAATATCATATGTGTGGCTCTTTATCAGCTCAACAATTCCAGCCAAAGACACATCTCAATGGCCACAACCATA